ATGTATATGTATATATTACTTGTGGACCTATTAATCTAGTTTGTATTTTCTGGTTTGATTAAAGTTTTCGTGTGTTTAGTCTTGAACTAACTGTGTGCGACATGCACATATCAGTATAATCTGAATCAGATTCAGTTAGCCCTCTGTGTGTAATTTTAGTATCATGGAATACTGAGAATATCGAGCTACTGTGTAAATTCGCAGTTCGGTACTCTTGTGGTTCTTTTGTGCTATTCTCTCGATTTCGTTCTCTGATGCACTCCGTGTCATGCTGATTGTATTCAACAGTCACTCAAGGATAGCGGAATTAAATTAGAGATGGTAAATAATAACATGGACCAGCTTCGTGGCTTCATCAAGGGTCCCAAGGATACTCCATACTCAGGTAAAGTGATGGCAAGCCATCTAACTCTGACACAGTTTGGATACTGCGTTTTCGAGCTCTGTTGCGTTTGTTGGTGAGTGTGTATTAGACTTCGGCTCTGAAAAGCTGAAATTCAAGCTCGAGGTCCAATAGAATCGATGGATAGACCTAGACGATTTCTAGTCGGTGGTTCATAGCTCAGCTTTGTTCCACCCTTGGGCTGGATTTCCTTGGGCCAGATACAGTCTGGAGCTCGACATCTCAGGATTTTTCGATGGTTTTCATCCAAAAAATTTGCGACAATATCATATGCTCACTCAAGATTTGTCTCGACCTGTGCAGAAGGTACCTTTGAGCTCGGGATAACCATTCCTCCTATGTACCCCTTCGTCCCACCAAAAGTATGTGAGCCATTTTCCGCCAGTCGGCCATGTAAAGCACATGTTAGTATATTTCCCTATGTGACCCATTTTCCGCCAGTCGGCCATGTGAAGCACATGTTAGTATATTTCCCTATGTGACCCATTTTTCGCCAGTCGGCCATGTGAAGCACATGTTAGTATATTTCCCTATGTGACCCATTTTCCGCCAGTCGGCCATGTGAAGCACATGTTGGTATATTTCCCTATGTGACCCATTTTCCGCCAGTCGGCCATGTGACGCACATGTTAGTATAGTTCCCGATGTACTATGTGCGCATCCTGCTGGTTTACTCATATCATCGCTTGCTTTCAAGTTTTGTAGTATTTTAGCTACTGTGGTTTTAATTGAAGTCGTGATTGTTTTTTTGCCAAGTCTTAATTATTATTATTTTTGCTAAGTTCTGAGAATTTTTTTTTTTGCTATAGTCTCAAGTATCCTGTCTTTTTTTATCACAACAGGTCAAATTCGAAACAAAAGTTTGGCACCCCAATGTCTCATCGCAAACCGGTGCGATATGCCTTGATATATTAAAGGATCAATGGTGAGTACTTGGAATCGACTACGTGTCTATCAAACTTTAATGCTAGTCGGAAGGGGGGTTTTGGTCACAAGTTCCGCATGCTATTGTGCTGAGTGTATGTTGTAGACGGCATTGAGCTAAGGTTCATTCCAGCTGGGCTGTTTGAACTTGCTCACTCAACGAGTTGGCTGTATATACTACGTTTCAGTCTAACGGTAGTCCATTTACACACACAGGGCAGCGGCCATGACAATTAAGAGTGTGCTGTTCTCCATTCAATTGCTCTTAGCCTCCCCCGAGCCAAACTCGCCACAGGACGCTGTGGTGGCGAAACAGTACATGGATCACTTCGACGAATGGAAAGACCAAGCGAAGCAGTGGACGGAGAAATATGCACAAGGTAGTCTTGCTTCGTTTCTTAGTATGCGTAGAAAGCAGAATACTTGTACGTGGCAGGATCGAAGTGCCAAAGAGTTGAAGTTGAAGTTTGGGATAGTTGGTTTGATGCCGAAGTTTGGTATAAGCTGTAATATACTCGTTGCACCGCATGCGGGTAACAGTCGCATATGTTCGGTATCGTTAGGCGCAGAGCTTTGGCCAATTTCGTAGAGTGTACTTTGCCAGCTCCTTCAATCGAATGAATCACAGTGGATGTTGATGTGATTGTTGATTCACACACACCTTTGCACATCGCACTATAGAGACTGAGACGAAATTCGAGAGAAACATCAAGCAGCTCATGGAAATGGGGTTCAGTCGAGAGAAATGCGAGAAGTACTTAAACAAGACAAACGGCAACATTGAAGAAGCGGCAGCCAAGCTACTAAAATAAAGGGCGTGGTGATACCACGCCTGTCCTAATATTTTCTTGAGGGGGATGTGGTTCCATCCGTCGAAGTCAATAGCGCGAGAACGTTCAAGTCAGGATATAAAGACGTTTGAGGCATCAGACTTACACGGGTCAAAATCATACTTGAATGTCTATAGTCCTATAATCGAGTCTATAGTCCTATAATCGTCCGATACAACGGTGTATGTTTCAAAGTTCACACAAAAATCCGCATATATAAACAACCGTGGACAGAAAGCTGCATGTTTCAAAATAAAGTACATTTGAATAGCTACGTATACGACTTTGCGAGCGCACCTACATGACAAGGCAAGTACAAATATTCAACCGTTTTGTCGCGCGAGGTTAACAAACGTTCAGGGAAAGAAAATCATCTGAAAATGAACACTATCAACTATCAAGAAGATTCCGCAATCCGGTCTTGAATATTTTTCCTGCCAAACCAAACCGCACCCGAGTGCGAGTGATACGTAGCTGGCTTGTTTGCTACAAGTTGTTCTTCAGCAGATGCCTGTACACTTTGCTCTGTGCGTACCTTGCAACAAGTTCTTCGGCCGCGTTTGTATATGCATACACTCGGATTAAAGAGTATGCATAGTCGTGCTGATGTCATCCGCAATTTATCACGGGTATTGCAGCCAAGCAGGAGTCGGCATCTATACGACAACAAATGAAATTGTAGGATATTTGCCTTTTGGTCAGTAAGTTGGTAGTTTACTATGCTGTAGTGAACCATGTGAAAAACCCAAGTGTTTGCCCCTAAAACTTGGGTGTATTTGTTTTTCTAGAACAGTTGCACCCATTATTGTACAAACCAGGGCCAAACGTGCCCTGTACCTGAAAGTAGGACTATTGCACCTTACATATGTATTGTAGCTTCCTTGTCTTTCTGACTTTTTCAGGGGGCTATGCAAAAAAAGCTGCCCCCAGAAAAGCCCGCTGAATTAACAGACACTTTGACATGACAGTTGACAGCATTCAGCTGGCTTTATATTATTTACAATATCAAGACAAGCACATGCTTCCTGCAACACATATCAATCAGGTTGATATTTATAGCAAACATAGGATACATATGATGGATGTTAAAGACTTATTGTTGAGAGCGGAGCCGCTGACAGAGGAAAACTTCAAGCCATATGGAGATGTAAGTATGAGATTATTCGGCATACTCTTTTCAGTCATGATTTTAGTCTCCTAGATCATTGTGTCAATTGCAATCTCTGATATTCGGTTGTTCCTACATTGCGGAAAATTTCAGTGCGGTATCCCCCGCTATAGCCATGATAAACTACTGTCTATATATGGGAAGGGGAGATCCGCATTAACTTCCAAGCGTTATGCGTTTTGAGTAACTCATGCCAGAGGTAGCATGTCGCACGTCATTTTCATTCGACCATTATCCCACCACTAAGCCACTCGAACCACTCGTATTCGGGTCAGTATAAAGAAGTTTTTAATGTAGGAGTACAATCCATCAACTAGTAGCGATGACTTTGGAGATTTTAATTACCCATGAAATAGGCGTACTTGTTTCTTCAATTCTCTTTCTGTTGCTTTTGTTTTGGTTTCAGGTTATAGAGAGTAAAAGTCCCTCGGGGTCAGTAATCGCTGCAAACCAGGGCTCTGCTGTTCGATCCAATCGAGTCGCTGCAATGATGAATAAAAGGTGAGTGAGGTTTTCTCATAAGACCTACTTTGAGTTCCTTGTGCGTCTCAATCAGTGGTCAAATATACTGTGGCGTACTTTTGCATCACTTTTGTTCGTTGATCACGGGTCAAATATTCTGAAGCATCACATACATTCAGCTTATCCGAATTCACTTTATGAAAATTAACACTCTTAAGGGCAGATGCTGTCGCGAATCTGTGCGTCTTTCGGTGCACGCCGAAAGAACTTCCGTTTCAGTGCAAACTGCTTGAGAGGCATCCGCACTCCACGCAAGTATGTGATGTAGAGGATTAACTGTGTGAATAGGTTTAAACCGAGTTTTATTATTTTTGCAGTGTTGTTTGGTTCTTGCTTTGTCGCAGTACGAGTACACCTTTTGTTGTTGTAGTTGACTACTGCTAAACCCACTCTGACCATGTATCAGGTCTTCATACCCATGATGGACGAATCGAAACGCTATCTCGTGATTGTCTCGGAAGCCACAGAAGGTACTTAACTCCATGCTCTCTCACATATGCTCAGTATGTCGGATCCTACTGCATCTTATTATTGCCTGAGAAAATTTTAGTACATAATTGTGTACACTTGCGCGAACCTTATCTGGGAGAGCTTCCAAATGTACTATCACCCATCTGTCTTCTTTTGTTCGACGTTTGTATTCATAGTTATCGTATACACATAGTATCCATTCTGACTGTGTTTCATCAATATATATATTCACAGGGCCAGAGCCGGACCTCAGCAGCCTCAAAGCGTTTATAGCTAGCAACACACAGGGAATCAGCTACAGTGCAGGCTGCTGGCACCATCCTATGGTAGCGCTGGATGCTATGACAGGTATTCTTTTATACTACGTGCTATACTTGTGTGATACTCTTGTCAATCATTCTAAATCTTCTGTGATGTAAAACAAAAATGGCGTAGTAGTGTATGTGTTCACCTATTATTTAATGACTGACCTTGTATTAATTCAACTCACTGATCGTACGCGCACAAACCACAGACTTTGCTTGCCTAGTGTATGAAAATGGTTTGGCCGACGAGGATTGCCAAGAGCACCATTTCACACAGACCATTATGATAGAAGGATGAATACGAACCTTATTATAGTTTGATATTTGAGACCGTCTGCTATTACGCTAAAATTTGATGAAAGAAGTTAGTAGAAAGATAAATAAGCCGAAATCGAATGAAGTAGTAAGCAATGTATACTACGGATCAGTACCGGACGGTGGCGTATCAAACGCTGGAAGTTGGTTGACAGCAACATATTTCAGCCATCGCCTGGTCTTGGAAATAAGAAGATCTATGCGAACTTAAACGAACGTAGTATAATCTTTATTGTATATATTAAAAAAAAACCCCAAATAGCCAGAGAAGACCAGACTTTAGCTTGAGTGCGCTTGTGCTTCGTCGTGCTGTGGTGTTTACTTTGCATTTATTGCTATGAGTAATGGCTGACACTCAAAACTTAACGCTTGAGAATTGACTGGGTATGCATGCAGGATGCTGGTTAGCCGATGTGATATCTTGTTATGTCGGCCTTAAAGGCGAGCTTGCGGTTGAAAAATAATGTTCAACTCTTACAGATGTTTAATCAAAATAAGCACACCTCCACCAGAAGTTTGAAGCGAGAGACTATGTATTTTATATTAAAAAGAGGAGCCGGCCATCACACTTCATGTGAATAAAATAAATATGCCAAAATAAAGAGGCAGTCCAATTTTCGGTTGGTGTCAAAATTGGCCCCAATTTTGGCCAAATAAATGTCAAATGTATCATTCATCGGAAGAAGGTTATGAAAGCTGTCAACAAAATTAATTAACAGTCTTGTGAGGATTGCAGAAAGTGTTCTGTATTTGTTTATTTTTTACTGCTACGTATCAGTCTCCTCTCTGTGTATACGACTGAATGTATTTAAATTTGTACGGCAAGCTTGTGGTGACATATATCATCTCATATTTTATGGAAAGTCTACCTCTTCGTATGCCACATATTCCCATTCCAATCATAGAGAAATTTATAAACCCGTTCGCTTTGTTATAGACATTCAAGTATTTCTTATTCTACACTATGGACCAGTCCGAGGCCGTTGCCAACTTCGTCGCCATCGCTCATTGCAGTGAAGAGACAGCTCGCTTTTATCTCGATGCCAGCATGTACGATGTTGATCAGGCATTAGGAGCGTACTACCAATCCCAGGACAGTGACAGGGGTGCAGATGGTATGGTGGAGGATGTGAGTGACGAGTCTGAGGGGGAAACACTCTCGAGACAAGGCAATGTATCAGCTCGTGAACCGGGATCGAACTTTCCACTCCCGGATAATGTTGAACCGGCGACAGCCAGGGCACCACTATCAGAGTATGAGAAACAGGCACGCCGTGCACCCATTTCTGGCGTGAGCGGAACCAAGAGCAAGGCAAAGAAGAGCAAACCGAACAAGAAGGTCAACACCATTTTTGACAACAACGACTCAAGCAGCGAAGAGGATGACCAGGACAAGCCCAATAACTACTACGCGGGCGGGGGTAAGAGCAGTGGACAGTATGTCCAGGGACCCCCCGGAGAAGGACAGGGCCGGGGTGGGCCACGTGGCATGGATCTGGGCGGTAGCGCAGATGTAGGTGGGAATAATAACGGTAGCGATGACGAGTCCGATCTTGTGAAGAGTATATTCAAGCGCGCCCAAGCGGAAGGGCACGCACCCAAACACCCGCCCGGGGAGGAGCCTAAGAAGACAAGGTCGGCTTTTGGTGGGCTCGGGTTCGCGCTGGGTGATGAGACGTCGGATTCAGCGCCTAGAACAGTAGGTACGAGTTTGCGAGAGACGGAGGCGTTGGAGCAAGAGAGTAGCCATGGCACGCAGAACATAGTGTTCTGGCGCAACGGGTTCACTGTGGGGGACGGGGATCTGCGGAGTTATGAGGATCCGGCCAACAAGGAATTCCTGAGTGCTCTAAACAATGGCTACGCCCCTGCGGAGCTGACGAACGGCAGGAACATGACTAATGTGAGTGTGGTGGTGTCTGATAAGAAGGGCGAGGAGTATGTGCCAACCAAGAAGCCTATGAAGGCGTTTGGCGGGGTGGGCCGGACGCTAGGAAGGTGAGTATGCACACACGGTCGTGTGATGACGTATATACACACGTAGTATGTAGTTTAAGTGTGTATGCACGGTTTTCTAGTGGAAGTACACACTTACACGTATGAATTTTAGCTGCATACACACGGTTATCTAGTGTAAGTACGCACACATATATGTATTTAATATACGTGTATACACATGGTCATGTAGTGTAAGTATAAGTGTATGCATATGGTTATATAGTGTATGTGTGGGGCTGGTACTGTTGTTAGTAGGTGAATTAGTGTTGTGAGCTAGTTTATGTGATTGTTGACAGCTATACCGTATTCGTAATGACTATAACGTATAGGAGCCTACGCATTAGCTGAGCTAGTACTTTGAACACATTGCCTGTTTGCGAGTCTTTCCGTGATATCACACATGCGTCCGTGGCCAGTAGTAGCTTCGAGTCTTAGAGAGTGACCCACAAGCCTACCGAGAGCCCCATCCGCGTTTGCGAGCGCGCTTGATACATACATGTTGAAAAAGTTGGTGGCGATGGTCGTCTACAACTGGGCCCAGGCGCTATTAAGAAACTAATGAGTATATTGTGAGAGAGGAATCAATCGGTTGGAAACGAGTATGCTTGAAAACTCAGACCAACGCTCCGATGATTGTGCCACTTGTTAGCTATAAATCTGTCTTCACGTGCTTAGTGGGTGTGAGCGGACGTTGCCCCGCGAGCTGTAGGTTATGCGTTAGGTGTTTGCTGATGTGTACTGATGAGTCAAATGATTGTGAAGACATGTCACGCGTATTCAGTCAGGGAAGCGCTAAGAAGCATGCCTGTATCGGTGCGTCTCCAGAGCACGTTGATTCTCGCAATGTAGCGTGGCATAGACCGCTCTCTGTGCTGCTGAGATACCTCAGCCTCACATTTTCCCTCGCGCAAGTATGTTCTAGGTGTGGTCAACTTCTCACTCACCTCTATGATCCCATCCTCTCATCCGAGTATCCTCAGCGTCACCTGTGCACTTCGCATTATTAAACTGCACCTTTACATCTACCCCCACAGCCCAACCCCCGAGGTTTTGGGTGCGGGCACAGTGGGCGTGTCAGCCACCCCAGCCTCATCGTCTGGGGCCACCGAAAACCCCGTGGCAGTAGACGACACACAGCCCACCACCTCCGTTCAAATAAGACTCAGTGACGGCGCACGGTATGTGGTGTTGTGAGCCACACGTGGTTTGTACGCATACTCTGCTATGAGCGTGCTAGCGCAAGATCCTGTTCAACATAGACTTCGTTTATTAGTATTGTCATCTGTTAACACGTGATATGTATGGGGCTGATTCATTAGGACAGTCATCCCAACACGTGATCTGTATGGACACGCCATAGGGATTCGTCCTGTGCAGACTTATATAGCTGCCCGTTGTCGAAACCGATAAAGACTTCATTCTCTGTCAGTGTCGTGGTAGTTCCGAGCTAGCATAGTATTACAGCAGATTAGACCAAAAACATATGCTACGCACTGTACTATGAATAGACTCCGCCGTGCCCTCTTCGACCCATTACAAGTGGTATCACACCCTGTCTCAATATCTAGAGCCCACCCGTTTCGATTCTCCTTCCCGTTCATATGTATTCATCCTATAGTGTGCAGTACTGCTCTGTTAATTCTCCCGCACTCGCTGTTCGTATGTACCAACAGCTTGGTAGCCAAACTCAACCACACACACACGGTGGGAGATCTGCGTGCCTATATAAGGGCACAGCCCGGGGCCTATGCGGGCGCCTTTAACCTGATGACGCCGTTTCCCAGAGTGATATTGGGCGACGATTCTGTTACTCTGGCGGATGCGAAGCTGCTTAACGCGGTTGTCGTACAACAAAGGGTGTGAGCGTTGCTGCCGAGGACAGGCTATATACAGCACTGGTAGTATATGGTGGCTGGACACGAGGGTATCGCAAGTTATAGCTCGGTGACTCGTACAAACAATCGCTCACAGGACCTGCACGTGAATGGGCGTATGAGACAACTCTCTATTCCGCTCTGTACGCTTGGATATGTATATTCAACTCTGTACACACGGATATGTGTACATACTACACGTTAAAGTGAGCGCCTCGAGCTGCATGTGATTTATTTGGCCATGGGAGGGAGAAATGAGAATCCTCAAAACAAAGGACGATTTATGGGACGCCCTTACTTTTACTTTGTACGGCTACAAAGTGGTGGGCAACAACCCCAGTGCCGTGTCTGAGTAGTTAACTGAGAACGCGTCTATGGGTACAGAGTGCCTGTGAGTGTCGATGAGTGTCTATGAGTAGGTAATCGAGAACCTTCACGTCGTACTTCTGAGCACATTTGTAGTGTTCAGAAACTCCTTTGGACCGACACACAATATTAATAAGCAGTCCATCAGCAAATGCCCCGCGTGTAGGCGCCGACATACTCTGTCTGGTGACAGACAATAAAACAGCACGCTTTTCCACGTCTCGAGGTGCCTATTAAAGTATATACATAAAAGTAGGGCCAGAACATTCCATGCGATATTTCAGGCGCGTGCCTCTGTTATGCTGGCTATCCATGCGTGTACCGAACTCTCAGTTTGGGTTGGTTTTTATTTTACCTACTATTTTAGCTTATAGTTATATTTGACGGCTCGCCAGCCGGCGACGAATGATGCCGCCAAACAGTGTACCTCAGCGGCACGGTCAAACGTGTACGTGCTCATCGTAAAACTTTCATACTTGGTATTGAAGCATATATTGCGTTCCTTTATAATCGCAGGTGGTTGTTACCTTGCCACAAAGACCAGTCTATCGAACCCATCTACTTATTGTTCGTTCGATGTAGATTCGCAATGGCTTGTGGGGCAAGGATGTCTAGTACATGTTCGGATGTATGTTGCATCTGCAATTTGCACCTGAAACTTGCAATCGGTCCGATGACAAATCCGAAATGGCTTGCCGACATGGACGCGACGAAATATGATGAGGCGGATATCGCACCTGTCGATTTAACGAACCCTTAAAACCCAAAATCCGATGCCTTACGGTTCATCGGACACATACATACACGTGGCAGTGTATGCTGGGGTGAAGGCTGCGTCTACGGATAACGTATCGACATAAACGGAGCTACTACCTTGATCGCGCGCCCAACCTAACGACAAACCGGCATACAATTAATAATCCATTTTTAAACCTGGACCAATCGGACGCCATGGATCAGACGGTGTCGTTCTGCATGGTACAAGTAGCCGCCGCACTCGGCCGAACACGAGACCGGAGATGCACAGGGTTTTAGGGGTTTAGGGAATCTCTGATATATACACGATTCAGATGATTGAATGTGTACGGCTAAAACACCCCCTTGATAGTTTAACGGAAACGAAAAGTAGTCACAGTATTGCAGACAAGCGCTACCCTCCGGCCCGTGGCGCCATTCCGTTAAGTATATCCCATGCAGATATCCCATCCAGTCAAAAGTCTATTTTGAAGTGCGCATCTCGTTCCACTGCGGTCTTCTGAGGAGAGACCAGCCGACAAAGAGGCCCTCTTCTATAAGCAGTGAGTGATATCAGCAGCGACATTAGACGAGAACACATTGAGAAAACAGACAGAGCAAACAAGACAAACTCAACCAGCACAGCATGGACACGAACGACGGCCAGCAGTACACCCCTATCGTCAAGACCAGGCTACACAGGCTATCTTCACAAGTATTCCCGCTGCAGCCTCTAACCATGTAACACAGCCAACCACTGTAGCTGTACCTGTCTTCCAAGCCAAGTCCTATTTCAAGCGTGTTCCTCAACGGCCTTGGCCCCCTAATAGCTCGAGCAAATCCTCGTCAACCAACCCACTACTATCACCCCGCCCAGATAGATTCGAGGTAACACTCTCATAGGCACCACGCTTCGGATCCGGTGCTGCACTGGGAGCAAACCCATAGGCAGTACCATAGGCACTGCGTTTCAGACCTTGTGTTGCACTTGTACCGAACTGCAACGGGTGCCTAAAGGAGTACTTGGGCGACTCAGTGGGTATGGGGTGCACCTGTGACCTCTGAGAGGGTGCGCTTATTGTCCGCATCGAGTCTGGTGGGGCAAAAGCGATGGAGAGGCTATGAATGAGCGGTTGGGCAGAGTACGAGTGGATGTGATAAGAGCAAATCGAGGGCAAATAAGGTCCTGTGCGCGGGAGTGGGGGAGTGTCGATGTGGTGTATAGGGCATGGAGGGGTGCTGAGTGGCTTGCCGTGCATGCTATGTTTTGCAAACGGCTGCACCCAAGTGTGTGCACCTGTCTGACCCGAAAGACGTACAGGCCGTTCAAGTGCCACAGTGAGACTACGGGTGGATCAGAGAGGGTACCCCCTGCCACCACGACGCAAGTAAGAGGACTATTTGACTTGAATATACAAAGCTCAAAAAGTGCTACATGATATCTACGACTTTCTCACTCTCGTACAAGCTGGGAGGGAAGCGAACAGTGCCCATAATATAGACAAGACGTTTGCTGTGCGGGATAGCCTACCTCCATCATATTCAGGGTCTTTCCGAAGGTCTGGTACAACATCGCTACCACTCTCAAAGTGGTGGATGAGATTGGCGATGGAGTAGACTAAGTTGTTGACATGCGTCTCCTCGAAGTCCAGCTTCGTATCGGCGATCAGATTCTGTGTGTGATAGAAAGACTGGCTTTAGGTCGTGTGTTTACTGTAATGAGACATCAGTACTGAACCAGCTACAGCAGGGGAGCTCTATCCTTCCATTGAGTGTGAGTGGAATACAAAGGCGGAATACCCACTATACATATCAATGGGCTCTATGTCAACACTCGGATGCAGAGTAAGGTTTAGATGCAAGCCTGGGACCAGTACATAAAGTGATAGTGTTTTAAACAGGATGATTATGTTTTACGAAGGATGGTTGTATTTTATATAGAATGATTGTGTTTTATATAGGATGATTATGTTTTACAAAGAATGGTTGTGTTTTATATAGAATGATTGAATTCTATAAGATGATTATATTTCAAATAGGATGATTATGTTTATAAAGGATGGTTGTGTTATATATAAGTGTATATCATTGATCAGGCCAAAATGTAACATCACCGATACCGTATAAGGAATGCGGAACATGGAATCAAATGAACACAGGACAGGTCTAAATATATAACGAACCCGATTTGATCCACACCACACCACCAAATAACAGATAGTAAGAGCGGGAATACTAAACATCCTACAATTAGCAGATAGAAAAATAACCCCTTGTTCCCCACAAACCAACGTCCGGAAAGTCAAACCTCCAAAATACCAGAAGAAAACAGTGATGAATTCATTGACGCTACTAAGCATACTACAATACCTACCCTGATGAATTATCCATACCTACCATGATGAACTAGCAAAAACTACCATGCTGAATTAACTATACCTACCATGATGACGATACCTACCATGATGACTATACCTACCATGGTGAATGGACTATACCTACCATGATGACTATACCTACCATGGTGAATAAACTATACCTACCATGGTGAATAAACTATACCTACCATGATGACTATCCCTACCATGGTGAATGAACTTTACCTACCATGAGAGTCAAGCGAGTGGCGCTCCACGTTTCCATCATCATTTGGCAGTCATGCTCAGACATCTCCACAACAATCCATCCCGCAACCACCAGCGCAAACCTCTGTACAGCGGATGACACATACAATGTGAGTGCTATGACACTACTAGGACCATCATAGATACGTCACTAGTGCCATTAAACCACCAGCACAAACCACTGTACAGCGGATGACACATACAATGGGAGTGCCATGACACTACTAGGACCATCAGAGATACGCCACTAGTGCCATTAAATCACCAGCACAAACCATTGTACAGCGGATGACACATACAATGGGAGTGCCATGACACTACTAGGACCATCAGAGATACGCCACTAGTGCCATTAAATTACCAGCACAAACCACTGTATAGCGGATGACACAGACAATATGAGTGCTATGACACTACTAGGACCATCAGAGATATGCCACTAGTTTTTGTGTGCGATGAGTTTGTCCCAATCCGACTGATGAATATGCGGTTACTCAGCGAACGGTGTGTTGGCACCGAACTGATACGTACAAGCCGTGAATACTGGCGCAGATCTCGCCGCAACTGTTGCTACAGATGTAAATGTTGTACATCTACATCCCGAGTACAACACTCGATGGCCAGAAATAACGTTTATGCCACTATCCCGGGTTCTGTATCCCTTCGCGTTGCTATTAATTAACGTTTATGCCGCTATCCCGGGTTCTATATCCCTTCGCGTCCCTATCGGAGCCCGGACTGAGACTGACTTTTTATACAGCGGGCACAGATAACGTGACGTCAAACGAGACTTGCTCAGAGGCAGTGGGTAGAGCATTTGATGCGCAACTAGCATCACAGACGAACTCATCGCATACTAATCACACATAAGCCTACACATCCCTTGTCACCACAGACGAACCCTATCGCCTACAAACCACACATAAGCCTATACATCCCTTGTCACCACAGACGAACCCTATCGCCTACAAACCACACATAAGCCTACATATCCCTTGTCACCACAGACGAACCCTATCGCCTACAAACCACACATAAGCCTACACATCGCTTGTCACCTTCCATCTTGTACGGTGCGAGGTACGAAATTAGTGTACATCCCACAGCACTTGTGTGATATACATTGACATCCCTGTATCACGAGTTTAGGTTATTCTATAACTATCACACAGTACAGTACAAGTATATAATATCAATACACATATAGAAGACTTCAAACCGCTCACGTCCCCAAGGGAACATACGTCTCCCTTGGCTGAGTCGTGGACCTTGATCATCTCAGGAGATCCGCAGAGAAGTAGCAGCGCTGCAGTACTGACGGAGGACACACTGTCGGCGTACACGCTTGAGATTTTCAACTGGTTGGTGTGCAGGTGATGCCGTGAAGAAAAAAACGTTTAAATAGCGTAAGGCACACGGACCGAGAGAGTGCGTGTAGCACTGTGATGTTTGAACGTGTTGAGGTTGTGAGCTATATGCAAGCAGGAACTGTTGGGGCTGTGCAACGCTTACTGATTAATTGTCGCAGTCAAGCAAAGGCTACATCGGTCGGGACTAGATCACAGCAGAACTGACTCAATCTTAACGGATTGACTCTGGCTGCCAGCATGGACCCAGAAACATATGCACGACATGGGCAGGGAACGATAAGAGCGTCACAGCCCTACCGCACCCCCTCTCACGAGAAAACGTATCACAACACAGCTCAACAACAGCACAACACACACCTTTCCCGTATACGCTAGCCATCGATTGTTGAAGTGAAGTGCTTCTAACACAACACACACACACCTTTCCCGTATACGCCAGCCATCGATTGTTGAAGTGAAGTGCTTCTAACACAACACAGTGCAACTGCAACACATACACACCTTTCCCGTATACGCCAGCCATCGATTATTGAAGTGAAGTGATTCTAACACAACACACACACACCTTTCCCGTATACGCCAGCCATCGATTATTGAAGTGCTTTTCGCCCGCGGTCACACTGCCGGGCATTGGTGTGAGTCCACAATTGTCATCGCAGAAAAACTTCGGCGCTTTGGCTGGAAATCGCAAACACGATAAAAGAGTGAGAAACAGTACACCCAGAACAAGCAATGCAACATTGTTGCCGTAGCAACCAGTTTGTGTGCGGATTCGAGAGTGCTGATTTAGATAGGTGAGATGGTGCAGTTGAACACACAACTGGGTACGCGTGGCGACATCAGCTCGGAACACGTTGCTATAGTAACACATTCACACAGACGCCACGTGAATATGGGGATGGTACCACATCGCAGGTGTAACTAACTACACAGGCGCCATTCGACTCGCCAAACGGTCCCTCAGCTTTTATAGTTAGGATAGCAATCTCTGTAGCCGAGATGTGCGCTAGTCTGAAGTATAAGCCCTGCAACGCCGACCACAGCATTTGCGGTTGCGGAGGCCATTGCTCCGATCGGTACCGGATTAAGAATGTGAACGGATACATTGTAACAACAGAGACCAGGATAGGTTACTATGGCAACCACACGTGGTGTAGGTGCTTACGACAAACAAATCAGTGACGTGTGGCCTATTGAAGATCAGCGTATTGTCTATCAAAGACTACATGAAGACAAGGCCTGAGATCCTCACAAGGAGTGCAGCCACCCATACCTTTCGCTCCCTTGATGGGGTTGACCACTCTAATGACATTCGGATACAGACCACTCAGCACCACCGCTTTGATCAGAGGCGTAGACGACGAATACATATTCGATGCACGGGTGATGGGGAAGCCCACCTGCGTAATGGCCCATGTGGGGGAGAGTCAGTATGTATACACTTATAAAGGATAGTCAGTCTATACCCCCTTATAAAGGATAGTTGGTATATATTCACATATAAAAAAAAGCTCACTACATCTTACCGGACCAGATTGCATCAAGGAACATGCCAGTGCAGTGGACTCACAACCGTTGGATGGCAACAGTCCAGACCAGTTCAGTCAGAGTCACAGCAACAGCCACAGCCACAGCCACAGTCAAAGCCAAAGTCACAATCATAATCACAATCACAGTCACAGTCACAATCACAGTCACAGTCACAGCAAAGCCACAATCACAATCACAGTTACAGTCACAGTCACAGTCACAGTCACAGTCACAGTCACAGTCACAGTCACAGTCACAGTCACAGTCACAGTCACAGTCACAGTCACAGTCACAGTCACAGTCAAAGCCAAAGTCACAACTATATATATATATATATATAATCACAATCACAGTCAAAGTCACAGCCACAGTCACAGCCACAGTCGCAGCCACAGCCACAGCCACAGCCACAGCCACAGCCACAGCCAAAGCCACAGCCACAGCCACAGCCACAGCCACAGCCACAGCCACAGCCACAGTCAAAGTCACAGTCACAGTCATAGTCACAGTCACAAGAACCCTTTCTTACAACTCAAGAAAACAGGCCAGCGCAGATCTCGGTCACATCGTTAAACCTTACCTACCACGAACCACATGAGCTTACCAAGGCAAGAAAGTACACCTACATAACAGCCACAGCCACAGCCACAGCCACAGCCACAGCCACAGTCACAGCTACAGTCACAGCCACATCCACAGTCACAGTCACAGTCACAGTCACAGTCACAGTCACAGTCACAGTCAAAGTCACAATCACAATCACAGTCAAAGTCAAAGTCACAGTCACAGTCATAGTCACAGTCACAAGAACCCTTTCTTACAACTCAAGAAAACAGGACAGCGCAGATCTCGGTCACATCGTTAAACCTTACCTACCACGAACCACATGAGCTTACCAAGGCAAGAAAGTACACCTACATAACACTCAGCCCTCTCATTTAAGGAAGGGGGAAGTACACCTACCCTTTCCAGAACATTTGCGAACCGTCTCTTGAGCATAGCGATTGTTCTCATATTAGATCGGTTGAGGTAGTGCGCGGCGCAATAGTTTGCGTCGTCTCCGTGTCTCAGTGCGGCTTCGTACCTTCAGAGGACATAGGTACTTATTAGTCTGGGATAGAAGCCTATCTGTACTGTTTGGGCTGGGTTAGGTTTGGTGCTTGTAGGGGCAACCAACCAGATTGCGGAATGGACAGGTAGAATAGATTTCTAGGGTTTTAGGGGTTTAATTGCACCCATCTTGTTAACGTGGTCTTGGGTGTCCCTAGACGACCTCTCAGATTACTAACGAGCCCCCAGACAACAAACGGCCTACTATACGGCTAAGCAGCGCAGCCCTAAACAGTGGCAGCGGTAGCACTGTACATACGTAAACATTGCGTAGCGTTGCATTGCTTAGTCCTGGGTAGAGCGGCATCAACCACTCTCCAGAGAACAGTGAGTGGGCCACTAAACATAAACATGTACTTGTAGATCATTGGATGTATAAGCCATATACTTGTGTATCATTGGACTCATGGGTGGTACAGATTGGACATATACACACGCCCACGCCACTACAACGGCACATATACGGACAATTGAGAAGGTCGACATACGACAAGCGAGCAATCAAACAGAAACATAACCATACACTTGTGTATCATTGAGTCTGTACACACCTCCACACCGCTACGACAGCACATTCTACAGACAATTCAGAAGGTAGACATACAACACGCTGAAAATCAACCAGCCGCACAGTTCGGCGTCCAAAATCGTCTCACGCCGTCACATCAGTGTGCTTTAAGCAGTGCATACACCAACAAAACCCCTGAAACCCTACCCTCACGCCTACCTACCCTCCGCCCAGCCCTCTCGCCCCCTACATACCCGTTAAACGCATTGATCAGAGCCACGTGGTCGCTCTGCCAGTCGTCGGCCAATGACAGGCGCAGTTGGTCCCGTTTGTTGCGCTGATGCTCGGGCACAATGAGCCACGGCGACGGAGCCGACATGGCCGCCGCAACGGTCAGAATGGGATCGGCACAGCGCAGTAGCACGGCGTATACGAGCATCTTGCCTAGTTTGGCATCCAACGGCAACTTAACCAGAGCCTCGCCCAGCGGAGTCAGCTCTTCGGTCTTTGTGGGGGGACTAACGCGTATTGAGTGATTTGAGTGAGTGGTGTGATTGTGTGTCTGTGTGTATGTGGTCAAGGGTGATGAAGCGTATTCAGTGATGTGAGTGAGTGGTGGAGAGATGGGATGGCACGAGTGACAGGACACGGCGGAGGAAGCGATGCACAGCTGTGCTGTCGCTGTAATGAGTCTCACGTAGCTGAAGTACAATACAGAGGGTCGTGTGAGTGGGTATGCTTAGAAGTATACTAATCATCTACACATGCACTGCATCTGTAGACTATAGATACAATGCATCTGCATGCATCTTATAGCTTGTGCGTGTGAAGAGTGCACACAGGTTAGTAAATTGTGAGCACAGTGTTGTTTCTGTTGGGTCGATGGGATAGTCGCATGCAGCCCAGACAACGCAGCGGACTGTCCAGCCAAGAGTGTGTGTGCGGGTGTAGGTAGAAAGACTCAGCCACATGGCACTATGCGTGTAGGTAGACGACGTTAGCCAATCCTACAATCGTGCGTAGTCTAAATAAAACACTCCACTCCACTCCCCTCCCCTGCGTCGACTAGTATTGGCTTCGTATAGTTCGGTACTAAACCACACCATCACCAGATCTAAACCACACGGTCACATACTCGTCCGGATGTGCTCCAGGAGTGATATGTCTCGATAAGGCCCCCAGATCCACTAATGAATCCAGACTGTCCTCAATAGCCATGTCTGTGGGAGACTCGAGCGCTTTACTCAGCACTGAGCGTACATCTCCTGATCTGTGGGGGCAAGTGGTACAAGGGAATAAGAATAGGAATAAGCAAACGGTTTAGTGTGCTGTGTTTGGGGTTGAATGGATGGGCCTGTACACACTTTTATTAGTCACGAAACGGCTAGGTACATACGCTACACACACACACGTCACATACGTTAAACACACACATGTACGTTAAACACACACACTAGTCACATACGTTAAGCACACACACATACGCTATATACACACACTAGTCACATAAGTTAAGCACACACACATACGCTATATACACACTAGTTCATACACACTAATTCACACACACCATACACACTAATTCTCACACACTAATCACATACGGTAAACACACACACATACGCTATATACACACATACGCTATATACACACACTAGTTCATACACGCTAATTCACACACACAATACACACTAATTCCCACACACCAGTCACATACGCTAAGCACACACACATACGCTATACACACACACTAGTTCATACACACTAATTCACACACACTAGTCACATACGTTAAGCACACACACATACGCTATACACACACACTAGTTCATACACACTAATTCACACACACTAGTCACATACGTTAAGCACACACACATACGCTATACACACACACTAGTTATACACACTAATTCACACCCTAGTCACATACGCCAGTCGCAGGTGCTTGATGTTTAGTATAATGTCGTCCAGGGGTGCGCGTTTGATCTCGGGCACTGTCTGGGGCATCAGATGCTCTTCCATGGCCTTTGGTACCATTGAGTAGTACTTGCCAGGTCTCACCCGTCCGGCACGACCGGCGCGTTGGTTACATGCGGCTCTAGACACCCATGACATCTGTAGAGCTGTGTGTGTGGTGGGGGGTGGGGGGGTGTTAGAAAGGGGGTTGGGTGGGGGTGAGGCAGCGTACTTGGAGATGTTGGTGGGAGTGGTGTGTGTGTGGGGACTGGTATCCCGTACTTGTATTGGGCTGCTTCAGGGTATGCAGGTGATAGAAAGTCTGGGAAATGAAGAAACACGGGCGGATGGGTTATATCAAGCGTCGGTAGACGTGGTCACACAGGTTAAACGGCTAGGATCGAGAAGAGTGTGTAACAGTTTGATACACAATTATAAACCGTGACCCTTAGTTCGGTATCTTGCCCATGAGCTGTATGTGTATACTTAACGTTTTGCGTACAATAGCCTTCGAGCAACAGCTGCCTTAAGCCAACCTTATACCTTGTGTTATAGACTGATGAACGCGCACACGCACTATATATCTTGCGATGCTTGTAGAGAGAGAGCTACGTCCTTATACCTTATGTAATAGACTGATGAACGCGTACACGCACTATATATCTTGCGATGCTTCCACACACACAGAGGATGAACATTACCTACAGTACCACACACACAGAGGATAGACAATACCTACAGTACCACACACACAGAGGATGGACATTACCTACGGTACCACACACACAGAGGATGGACATTACCTACAGTACCACACACACTGGACATTACCTACAGTACCACACACACTGGACATTACCTACAGTACCACACACACAGAGGATGGACATTACCTACAGTACCACACACAGAGGATGGACATTACCTACAGTACCACACACAGAGGATGGACATTACCTACCGTTTATGCCCATTTCGGGATCGTACGACATTTCTTTGTGGCGTCCACTGTCAACCACATACACGCAGTCGTTGATGGTCACAGACGTCTCGGCGATATTCGTCGACAGCACAATCTGCGCACGTATTCAGAGACCAGTCGGTGTGTGGTTAGTGTTTAGCACAGCAACCATACAAGAAGGGGCAAACCCTGACAAACCCTAGTCCCATGCGCCTGGACGCACAACCCTACGATGCAACGAGGTACGGATAAGGCTTGTACTTTCTTCTCTTTACTTCTAATAAGTACGACAAGGCGAACCCCCGTAAGGTGGCTAAAACCTAACAAACCCTATTCACATACGCTCGAAGCACAACCCTGTGACAAAACGAGTCATAGACAGGGCTTGTACTTCCTCTTACCCTTCCTAACAAACCCTATTCACATACACTCGAAGCATAACCCTGTAACAAAACGAGCCATAGACAGGGCTTGTACTTCCTCTAACCCTTCTCTCCAATGCTAGTGACTGCGACAAAGCGAACAACGATTGGGCGATTGTTCAGCCAGACATTGGCCCAAGACAGCCAAGCCAAGACTACTCAGAAATGAACTGATGCGTAAGCGTTGTATATGCACTAGCACTCTGATGGCAGTGTCCGTGGCTCAGGTGCTTGGACCATGTGGGGCTGCGGTCGCACGTATTAGGACAAGTGTCCTGGCTGCACGTACTAGGACAGGTGTCCTGGCTGCACGTATTGGGACAGGTGTCCTGGTTGCACGTATTAGGACAAGTGTCTTGGCTGCACGTACTAGGACAGGTGTCCTGGTCGCATGTATTAGGACAAGTGTCCTGGCTGCACGTACTAGGACAAGTGTCTTTGTCGCACGTATTAGGACAAAGTGCCCTTAGACCTCTGTGTGCAAGGCCCGCTATTGGCTTTAAGTTCTAGGGCTTAATAGATCACTGAAAACCTTCCGATGGAGCTTCGGTAACCCCACCTCTTTGTACCAGGGCAGTCCGAGAAAATGGGCAAGGTGCAATCTGAACCACACAGATTCCATGGTCTCTCCCCGTGGGAATGTACTAGGCTATGACCCAGGGCTGTGGTACCCAGCCTATAGGTGATTAAACGCCTATCTGAGAGCTAACACCACTGTTCTGGAGTAGGGCCAAGCTTTTCTTACTACCAGTTCTCACTGAATGAGTGCCATGCGAGACCACCACCCACACCCAACACCCCACAAAACAAAACAATACGAAACAAACCCAAATACCACTCACCTTTCTAATGCCAGGTGCAGGACTACCCTTCTCTCGCTACCAAGTCTCACTAAATGGGTATCATATAACACACACATTGAATCGTAGATACAACAACGCCCCTAACTACACAATTCCACAAGTCGCTCACCTTTCTTATACCAGGGCGTGCGAGTGAGAAGATCTCTCTCTGATCCGCTGACGAGAGTCTACTGTGTAACGGCAGAATGCGGAAGCCATCGCTCCTGGGCAGCACCATCTCCAGGAGGTTAGAGATTGTCTGTGACACACAGAGGTACAACAACAATGGACATGAGACCAAGCATCATGTATATAATTGATCCCATTTGATTTGTATCTGTGTCGTATGCACTATCCTGTACATGTCACCAGTGTTGCAAAGTAGCTATACTACATGCAAATTCCTATAACTACCTGTCTCACCTAGCACCGCCTTTATCGGACTCGGCAGCTCAACCAATACACACGTGGTCACAACAGTACAGTATCCTGTACTACAATACAAAGCACGTGCCGTGCGTTAGCCGCTCACCTTGATCTCGTCCCACCCCGGCAGGAAGCAGAGTATAGCCCCCTCGGGCTCGTGGTTGCAGATGTGCTGGATGGTCGCCGCAATCATGTGCATGGGCAGCAGACCCGTGCGCAGGGCCGCTAGTCTCTCTTGGATCTTGCGGTCGAGGTCGGCTGTGTGGTGTACATGACAAGGATACAGGAAGGGGTGAGTTAACGGATGAGGTGAGTAGAGAACGAATGCTACGCTTGAATCAATCTGAGTGAGGTTCATATGCGGACTTCTCAACGCGTCGCGAGGATCAATTTAGGGGTTTAAGGTTTAGGATTTAGGGTTCAGGGTTTAGGGTTTGGTGTTTAGTGTTGGTTCAGGGTTTCAGCGGAGCCCCGCTCTCCGATGCATATTCTTCGATTCGTGATTCGAATGTACAACAGTCTCGAAAACGAATACGTATACAATGCCTCCTCCGCAATCAATCCGCAGACAGTGCCGAGTGCACAGGCACTTACTACCACACACCTGGAGCACTGACCTCCAACCCAGACAAACTATAAACCATCTACTGACTCACATAAGGGGTAGAGGTAGCTGATGGGATCAATATCTTAGATCTACACGCTTCATCCCATTTTGAAAAGTGTATACACATATTGCTATGTACCGAACATATACAGCACATCAACTAAGATAAACGTTATCAGGCAACATACTAGCAACTGTGATGCCTTTCAATGGGATGAGGTATCACCCACCCACAAAACTAAGATATAAAGTTATCAAGAAACATACTAGGAACTACAACTAACTAAGAAATAATGTTATCAAGAACATACTAGGAACAACAACTAACTGAAATATAATGTTATCAAGAGACATACTAGGAACTACAACTAACTAAGATATAACGTTATCAAAAAACATACTAAGAACTACAACTAACTAAGAAATAGCGTTATCAAGAAACATACAAGAAACTTTGATGCCTTTCTCTGGGAACGTGGCCAAGGCGGACGACCTCACCGGTGCTTTCATCAGAAGCTTCTCGGGCTTAATCCCGCCTCCACCCCTGTAGAAACGAAAATGACAACACCACGCAGAAATGGTCAGAAGAGAGTATATATAAATATATATATATATGTATATATATATATAAATATATATATATATATGTATATATATATATATACGTCAAGATGCACCACATGGCATAGCTCACGCATGACCACGACTACGACCAACCTATCGACAACTACCCATCGAACTCAAGTGAAGCAGCACAGTAGACAAGACATATGCACTCAGCATGTGCGAGACGCAGTAATAACCCATCCACCACAGAATGTCCCATTCACCTGCCAAACTCACTTACCCGCCACCCTTGCGGTTCTTATTGCCAGGCTTTGCTGCCTGTAAGTGGGGCGTATACATAGGCCGTGAGAAGTAAACGCGTACGGATTTGCGTACTGAAGCAATACCGTAGGATGCATATTCACTACGATCACACAACTCTGGTGTGCAGCCTGGAAGAAGAAAAAGGTGAACGCAGCCCCGAACGTATTCACCGTGGCTATCACTGTCACAACTATTGAAATACTTGCACATCCCTTCAGTTTACAATCAAAGGTCTACCCACGTAATCTGACAAATGGATAACACCTCCACACACACTATACAGCACACAAACGTGCATAGCCCAATACTTGCACATCTCTTCAGATTACAATCAAAGGTCTACCCACGTAATCTGACAGATGGACAACACCTCCACACACACTACACAGCACACAAACGTACATTGCCCAATATAATCCTACTACGCCACAGATGTCTCACTCCAGAGAACCACCAACCCTATCCTGCACTTCTGTGCTCCACTCCACTCAGACATACCAACCACCACCGAAGACCCCCCCCCCCACCCCCACGCTAAGTTCACCAAACAATACCATAAACTTTCGGTGACTTAAACGCCCAACAGCCGCGTTTAGTCATTTCAGGCGCCACTCACCTCAATGTCGGGCACAGGATTGTACCCAGTCATTGCCAGGACGTCTTCAGCACTGTACCGTGTCACTGGGAAGGTCCGCCCAGGCACAGAGATAATGGGCGCGGGCTTCCCCTGGCCTATCTTCACACCTCTGTAGGGTTGGGTGCATAGTATGTAGTTTGGGAAGAAGATATCAGTGTTGTAAAGTAGGTAGGGTTTAGGGTTTAGGGTTTAGATTCTTCACACAGTCCATATGGGATGTCCAGCCTATCTCGAATTCTGCTATCCACTTTCAGCCTACCGATGTATTTTGGTAGTGCGTAAGTACGTAATCACACGTGCAGGTGCACATAACCAATCTACAATGGTCTAGGACACACGTGTCACCATGGCGGTCCGAATAGTGCCCCGTGAACAGAGTAGGTAAGAGAGCAGAGTAGATAAGAGAACCGAGTAGGTGGGCTGTGTAAGCAGTTGGGCCTTAGCTTTAGCACTACGCACGAGCTCAAAAGGACGCATGAGATGGCGACAACGATACAATGAAGATGTTTAGAATGCACAGACGCGTGCAGGACAGATCAATGGACTGCGAAGGCTCTCCGATGACTACAGGGAATAAACACTCATCGGCAGAGAGTGGCGTCAGCACAAGGGGACGGGAAGCTTAGACTGTGTGCATCTGCAGGGGAATATATATATATATACACGCACACGCACACAACGAGGCACTTACTCTTGCAAGTGATGGCTGTTGAAGTAGTCGGCAAACAGCTTGGCCTGGAGAGTGGCGGACATGAGGATCACGCGCAAATCCGGTCGCTTGGGCAGCAGATCCCTCAGAGCTGTGATGAGATAGTCGCTCTGCAGATCCCGCTCATGTATTTCGTCTATGACTAAGTGCGTGACGGTCTTACTGGCTGGGTCAGCAAGCATACGCAGGAACACGCCCTGCGCCGCAGGCAAAGGGTACGGGACAGATCAAATGAGTGGAGTGTGTGTGTGTATGTGTGAGTGTACAGTCAAAGTAGGCATAGGGATGCCTTTGTGAATATGAATAATAACACCATACAACAGCTAGTGGGAAAGCAGAGCCCATGACACACCCTGTGGCCGTATGAAGCACACTGCGTACAAATACAGCCATTTCACACTACGTACAAATACAGCCATTTCACACTACGTACAAATACAGCCATTTCACACTACATAAAAATACAGCCATTTCACACTACAAACAAATGCAGCCATTTTACACTACATACAAATACAGCCATTTTACACTACGTGCAAGTATAGGCTGGCAGGGAATCCAGCCCAGACTTCTAGATACATGAGTCTATGGCCACCGTAGGCACCACGGTACCACTGCGCTAGTGAATAATCGGCAGTAGAACCCAACCAGCGATTGATACGCTTCTCTATTCTCACAGCCGATATGCCGCACATGTGACCCAATACAATCCCATACTAAGGGGCGATTAAGCCAACTGTTCAAAAGAACCTCGCATGCTCTCACAGCTGTCTACAGGGTACTTGACACTAAGCAATGGGCACCGACTCAGTTGCCGCTCAGCTGTTCACAATACTTACATGCATACATACAAAGATACATATATGCATACTTACATAAATAAATACATACATACATACATACATATAGATATATACATACATACATACATACATACATACATACATACATACATACATACATACATACATACATACTTAAATACATATTTACATACATACATACATACATGCATACATACATACATACATACATACATACATACATACATATATAAATACATGCATACATACATACATACATACATATTTACATAGATATATATATACATACATCCATACATACATACATAAATACATACATACATACATACATACACTCGTAACGTGTGGGTTAGCGTGCGTGTCTTACCGTGGTGCAGAAGAGGATGGACCCATCGACTGTGGGTGGTTTGTTCTCCAGTCTGATTTTGTAGCCTGTGCTAACGCCAAGGCGCTCTGCACGCTCAGCGGCCACACGCTCAGCCAATGAGATGGCGGAGATGCGCCTGTGTGCACATCAACGGACATAGTGACATAGAAGCGTGTATCAGTATCATGAATGATATTGACGTCTGCGCTCTTACAACGTCAACAACGATCCAAGCCTTATGTGTGCCATGGACAGAAATAATGATTCGATAGAAAATGTGGTGAGCGTTGTATTATTGTACTGTATTTAGGGGTCCAGATCTTATGACGGCCATGGAGTAATGTCCACAAGGCCCACATTGATGTATATCCGATGCACACGGTGGCCCCATCACACTGCTCAGCAAACACAGTCATTCTAGTACACGTTTACGGATACGTACGTAGTACTAACACACATCCCTTACTATAACTTCTCCACGTCTACGAATACGTGCGTAGCACAAACACCCATCACACCTTGGCTGTGTTACCACAATCTCGGCCCGTGGACCCAGGTTGCGACTGATCATATCCTCCAACAGATACTGCGGCACTTGGGTCGATTTGCCGCATCCCGTCTCTCCCTGCAGCACCACCACCTACACAACAATACAGCACAGCATGCGATGAGCATGACCATACACTAAGGAGTACCAAACCCACCAAATCGCAAATACGTGCGTCTCGAGGCTGTGGGTGTTGATGTATGTGCTACAAAGACATCTCCCACATTGTACCGTGGACTGAGCTCGAGGTACCATTTAATGTTACATAACAAGCAAGCTCCCTGTACGCGTCGCCTGGAGACGGTCCAACGCACCCGCAGACTGTGTCATGGGACATGAACCATAGGCGTCCATACAATTTTATCCCAAGAGCGCACCCTGATCCCCTGATTCAGGACACCCGGGTACATACGCAGAGTATTGCTTCAGTGCAATCGAAGCTAGACGTAGCCCAAAGGAACAAAGACAAAGACTATGTACGACAATGCCGGACCATAGACCATAGACACACCTGGTTATTGTTGACGACGTCAAGAATCTCCTCTCGCATTGCGTGGATTGGCAAATTCTGCCTCGTTTTGATTAGATCGCCCGTCGTGCCCCAACTCCTCTGCAACGGCAGACCATAGTGGTAGTACGTATCCAAGTTCTTCTTGAGCTCGTTGGAACGGTTCAGTTCAGAGCCTTCCACCGGATGATCATACACTCGTGCGGTGTCCAGCAAGTGCATATCCGGAGAGTGGGCGGGTCTAAGATCCTCAATACGGCTTTTCAGCAGTCCATATCTCTCAGCATCCTTCAGCTGTGATGGTCGTGAGACAGTTTGGGGTAGTAGAGACGCTTGAATACATGGTACGCTCTAGCAATAGGGATACAGTCAAGTGTGTAGGGGCAGAAGTCAAATGCTGCGGCTCGACTTGTGGGTCAATTGGTTGTAATGTCGAACGCTGTGGTGGTTGGGTTATGCGCTTTAATCGGAGAACTGCGCACGCCACACTTCCATACATCCAGTCCACCGACCAATAGCTTTACGGTATATAAATGAAGATCCCACACACGTGTAAACACCCCAAGGCACGCACGTCCCACATACTACAGGTGATTGCATGCAAGCTACGCGCTAACAATACCTCGTCTATGGTGTACCTAACAATACCTCGTCTATGGTGTATCTAACAATATCTCGTCTATAGTGTATCTAACAATACCTCGTCTATGGTGTATCTAACAATACCTCGTGTATAGTGTATATATGATGATAGCATAAAGGCACAAACGCAACACGCGAGTGCCTAACCCCCCCCCTCCCCCCACTCTTCCTTAAAACACGCTAAACAGAAACAGAAGTAGCAGTCTCGACATGTTATGCCAAGTACCAGACCGTACTACAGACGTATTTCAATCCGTTTTCGTACTACAAATATTCCAATCAGTATACGTGTTCAAATATTCCGATCGTATGCGTACTACGAATATTCAAATACGTATAAGAATTACATATATTGCAAACTGTATACGTACTACAAATATTCCAATATGTATACGTACTTCAAATATTCCAATCGTATGCTCTAAATATTCCAATCCGTATACGTACTACACATATTCCAATCCACATAGATACCAGCCGTACCTGGTCCATGACTATATATATATCGTCGATGTGCTTCTGCGTCAGTGACATTTTCTCGGGCGGCAGGTCGTGTTTTTTCTTGCAGGGCTCTTCGCCTTTGCGATGGTCTCCTGGCAATCGATAGTGCAAAGGCTGCAATGTCTGACCTGCGCTTGCGCTTGAGCTCTTTTTTATGGGCGGTAGTCCGTTCTGAATCCGTGCCGCGTCTTCCCGTGTATAGGGCTTGTCCGCATGTCCAGAGCGTAGTATGACATAGTTTAGGTCTCCCGCGATGTCTAGCGCCATGCAGCCCTATATGCAGTTGAGTCAGTATTGGAGAAGATACATATGCTTGGTTAGAATCCTGCAGCCCGGGAGGGTGGCCCCATACACTCGCGTCAACCAAAAACAAGGTTTGTAGCGACCCACTGACTTAGTGTGTGCTAGTAAGCGCAGGTGGTCAGCAACCAATTGCACTCGGAACTATCTGGCTGTCAAATAGACTGTGGGGTTACCCATACACTGTGGGGATACCCATACAAAACAATAACTGCTGTTCAACATCCGCCGTCTCGGCAATAGCAAACGACCTCACGCACAGACTCTTCAAAGCTGAAATGTTATATGATATCAGAAAGTCAGGGCGGCCGTCCCTATATAAACCTTCACCATGCACCAGGCCAATGAAAAGCATCACAGATCACCTACCTGAACAGCAGCCTCTTGCGCAGCTGTTTTTTTGTTATTGTGTACACCCACGATTGTCTTCTTCTCGATTATACGTTGCAGAGCGACCCTATTGCTCTCGCTCAACTTTGAACTGCAGAGGTGCGAAGTAAGGAAGTGCGGTCTGGTCAGTAAGACAATATGAAAAGTATACGCCTCTGACGTGCTATATACGTACCATGACTCACCCGGTGGATTTGTAATTGATAGCTTTATATACGTACCATGACTCACCCAATGGATGTGTAATTAAAAGCTTTATATACGTACCATGACTCACCCGGTGGATGTGTAATTTATAGCTTAATCTCTACAACCATGAAACATACCCGATTGACGCACATACCTGTCACAACCTACAGTTTTGAGTAGAGACCGGATGACAAAAACGAGCATAATGCACAACTATTCAAAGTACACAACAGACGAGTAGGAGTGTGTCTCTAGCACAGTGTTCCAGACGAAATAGACTAGCACTGTAACCGAGCCATGGTAGTATCGCCTACCAAATATAGCAATACAACCGCGTCATGGATTTTACACACTACCAGCATTATGTATTCCAAACCACAAAAAAAAATGAGAGGCATTTCCGCTACATCGAACGGTTGCACAAGCACTCGGTATAGCTACACAAGTGCATTCACACACGTGCATGCACCCTATCCACACATGGCGTGGGACGTTTGTAATCTCAAGCACATACGTTCCGTCGCGTTGTTCTGCTTGTGATAGAACGGTCTCCAATTTTGCGACAAACTCTGGGCTGAGTGCGTATGTCGCCTTCACGAGAATGCCATAGGTATGCCGGCTGTAGTGAATGCAGATGTGGGATAGAGATGAAGTGAGAAGCCCATTTTAGGGGTTTAGGGGTTTAGGGTTCTAGGGTACTAGTGTTCTAGGGTTTAGGGTTTGCGGCCCGAGCTCTACCCATTTGTGCTTGAAACTAGATCACAAACTGGAACTGGCACACGGTATTAACCACAGGAGCATCTGATTTGTGAAGAGGGAGTCGGTCTGTGTGTGAAGTGCGCCTGGCGATTGGAGACCACATCACAGCACCTGAATACATATCAGCCCCAATGGTCCCATAGTCTCCGCATGCGAGGGTCTCCAGCGCCTGCGGGTTGGAAAGTGACGGACACACTGGTAACGTTACAATACACTCGAGCGCGTCTCCGCCCTCGCACCCGCACATACAGTTTCTCGTAGGTGATGTCTGATGTTCCGTAGCCCTTCTTCTGGTAGTTGATGAAGAAGGTGGACTTCGCGGTGTCCTTGAATTCCTTCGTATCTCCTTCGAGATATGAAAGGTTTCCAAGGGCGCTCCCCTTTACAGCTGGATAATGTGAGTCTGTCATTGCGGACTTGCCGGCGTTTGTCGTTTCCTGTAAACCTTTCGCGTCCTTAGGATTAACCAGCCAGCCTAGCGATTCATAGAACCTGCAAGCCGCCAAGGCCGCTTGTGCTGTAGCTTCAGGCTTACTGCGGCCAGAACCCTGGAAACCCTCATCCATGACGTTGCACTGTACGTGGATGTGTGAGTGAACTGATTGGTGCACAGATATGTATTACAATCGAAACTGAGGAACAGACTTTAGCAACTACACACATTTCGACGCCGGCAGTGCCTTGGGACGGACTACTCCTAAAACGAAGTATGGAAGAATACTCAGTAGGAATTTTTTTCTCCAATAAATGGCATCATCGCAGATGTATTTGCAAAAACATACCCTTTGAAACTCCTCAGGCAAATTGAGAATAGAGTTTTGATGCCCCCAAGGAATACGTATTCTGCAAATAAATCCATTCGGAGTGTCTCCGGTGAAGTTCGTCTTGAATTTCGCTATATGACGCTGTGAAAAACGAGAATCATGACATAAAACAGAGTGAAAAAATACCAACGATAAGAATTGGATGGTTCATACACAATATATGCAATATACAATACCTGATATACAGTATATATATATATATATGTATATATATATATATATATATATATATATATATATATATATATATA